TTGTTGGGGCAAAAAGGCTGTCGATGCCTGCGACAACGTCCAATTAGCTGCCGCGTGCTTGAAACCAATGAGATGTCGAATGGCGTTCCATTCCCGAATGACGTCAACATGCAATCCCCGGCTCACGACGCGAACGAACCACATTGGTTCTTCATCCAGCATTGCATGAAAATAAGATAAAACCTGAAGAACCTAGAATCTGACGGGCAGGCGAAAAAATGACCTAGAGATAAAGGTTCTAATTCTATTCTACGGGCTGGAACGTTTTGGTATGTTTTGACATACGATATGTCTCTGTCTTTATATACTCACTAATTTTTTTACAGGCCTTGTTGAATATGATTTAATATTTTTGACAACACACATAATTGCGGTTAGCCAATTGCTTAGACTAATTTTTTGTTGAAAGCCTTCTACGAAGACACGTCATTTGGGAACAATACCATCGAGAAATAGCAAAACTCAACTCCTGAAAAAACAGCATAGTCTTCTGCTAACAGGTAATAAAAATAGACCTGACAACCTAAGAAAGATTCTTTGAATCGTAATTATCCATAAAATTTTATTAATATTACTATTAAGGAAGTAATACATAGAACGTACAACCGTAATTATAAACTAATCAGGAACAATAATGAATAATACGAGCCCCTTCCCACTTCAGTTGGCCCAACTATTGAAATCGTAGTTTTTTTCTCATCAAACACAAATAATAAAAATGTAGCAGGGTGTTATAGGTTTAAAATATTAACAATGAATATTTTGATAATATATAGTAGAAAACACCAACTTTGTCACTCCCTAATCAAACTTGCAGCATAAAAATAACACACGTTGCAATTACAGAATATCAACCTATTTTCATTTCAATGCAAAATAAGTCAATAACGCATAGGTGGCTGTGAAAAATAAAAGCCATGACAATTGTTTTTATTAATCACAGCTGTCGGAATACGTTTAAAATAGTTTTGGGTAGTTAAGTTAAAAAGAGAAGTAAAACCCTAAAGTTGCACTACTTGTTTATAGGCCAAAGAAAAGCGACCATTAACTCCACTGCAAAGGAAAAATCGGCTTGGATGGGCTAAAGAACATAGACAATGGACACCTCAACAATGGTATGCAATACAATGGAGTGATGAGGCCCGATTCGAAGTTTGTGTTGGTGACAGTCGCAGTAGAGTTATTCGCAAAAAAAATTAAGCATTCCTTGACTGTCTGAAGAGAAAAGTGAAATTTCCAGCATCCATTGTGGTCTGGGGCAGTATGTCATCAAAAGGAGTAGGAAAACTTCATTTTATTGATGGAAATGTGGATACAAACAAATATTTGGCAATTTTAGAAGAATCGCTTTTACCAGTGATGGAAGAATGTTTGACATCCGGCCAAGATTTTGTGTTTCAGCAGGATGGTGCAGCATGCCATACCTCAAAAAAGCTATAAAATGGATGGAGAAAAATAATGTACCACTTTTGAAATGGGTTTCTAGCAGTCCAGATCTGTCACCTATTGAAACTTTGTGGCACGAGATGAAAAAGGTTCTACAACATCCTGCTCGTACAGTCACCGAACTGGGACAAAAGCTTCAAGAAATATGGGATTGTTTTATACCAAATCTTTGCCAAAACTTGGTTAACACTATGCCCCAAAGAATTTCAGCCGTAATAAAAAATAAAGGTGATGTTATCCAATGGTAATCTTTCAATTGTTGCTTTGTTAACTTCGCGTATATATTCGCACATTGTTTATTTGTTCAGATATTCTATTAGTTATAGGTCTAAGTGATTTCAAATATATATTTTTTACGACTAGAGTGTATCTAAAATGTTTTTGAGAACGTAATTGTTTTAGAAGTAAATAGTTTCGTTTAGTTTATAAAGGCATATTTTGGTACAAATCTTGAAGTGGGCCAACTGAAGTGGGAAGGGACTCGTATATATCGATGCAGTATGTCTCGGGTCTTTAATCATTGTTGTCATAGCCTGCTTCAAATAGAGTCATTATGTTGCCATAAAAACAAGCTGAAGAAATTGTTTTATTTTCTAATGTCATAGAGTATATAATTGTAATGCAATATTTTATCAAACAAAATACTTTTGTAACCTTTTGTTTTATTTATATTTCATTTTCCAGAATACTCTATGAATCTGAGGATGGCCTAGATAGCCGAAACTTTTCGAAATAAGATGAACTCACGTTGACCGGAACCTAAGAATTTTTCTTCTAAAAAGTTATACTGACGGTCAGGGATATACATATAAAAGGGTTAACAGTGAAAAGTAGCAATTTTCTAAATATTTTTAAGGATGGCGATGACTCAAAGACCGTGTACATGTACAATAGGATATGGTTTTTCTGATCGGGAAACTCCGCTTAGATTGATCCATGACTAGAATTTAAAATTGCTGTGGCATGGATACCCGGTACACAGCGAGAATAGATACTTATATTGGAAAACCATTATAACTTGGCTATAAATAAAAATTCAATCCTGTTGAAAGATAAATATCAAATTGCCTATTTAGAGCGTCGAAAAGTAAAAGATGGCAAATAACACTGTATACTCTTCGATACACTCTCTATAAGCTATGAATTCAGCTGTGATTGAAAAACTCGGGGCAATTCAAGCAGATATAGAAAACTGGAACATTTTCCTTTGGTTGTGATTTATCTCGGGACTTTCCCACCGATCAACTTTTCCGGTTTGGAAAAAGTTATCGCCTATGCACTACGACTGAATCGATAAATTATTACTTCCGCTATGGACTTGTTAGCCACACATCGAGAATATATGCAGGGGTTCTTTATGGCCTGGATATATTCAAGAGAGTAAGAAGGTTCGAGGAAAAAATGAAGGGGTAGTAGGCGTAGTTCAGTACTACCTATGATTTATTAAAAAGATCAGTTCAAAAAGGATTATTATTATAAGAAAAAAGTAACTAAGAACGTCAATGATACAACAAAAAAGGACAAAATGGATCAAGCATACTAAGTGACATATAAATCCGAACACCCAGTTTAAATGGTTTTATTTTAATAAAATTTTGTATAAGTAAATGATAAAAATTTCAAAATGATTGCACTGCTTTAAAGCCCTTTGGCCTTTAATAATGTGTGGATGCACCCTGATGTGCTACGCATTCTCCAACGCGCCTAGGCATGCTTCTGATCAGGTGGTCAATGTCCTCCTGTGGTATCTCATTCCAGGCAACCACCAACTCCTCTCGAAGTGCTTCTAGAGTCTGAGGAGGACGTTGCAAATTGAGCAATCTCCTACCCACACGTGCTCAATTGGGGATAAGTGGCCATGGTAACAATGTGACATCATTATGTTGAAAGAAGTCTATTGTGGCTCTTGCAACATGTGGTCTGGCACTATCTTGTTGGAAAGTTGGATCTGCCAGGGTGTCAAGATAGGGTAAAAGATGGGGTTCTAGAACTTCGTGGATATAACGCTGCGCGTTCATGTTACCTCTGATGAAGATTAAAGGTGACCTGGAACCATAAGCTATAGCACCCCAAACCATAACTCCAACAGTGTGATGAACATGTCTTTCAACAAAAAACTGTGGATTCCTCCTTTCACCACGTCGCCTTCTAACCCTGGCACGACCAACGTGCCCTAAACAAAATCGAGACTCGTCACTAAAGATAATACTGTTCCATTCCTGATCCCCGAGTGACCGTTGTCTGCTCCACTCAAGGCGATTACGTCGGTGTTCTCGAGTTAAAGGGAGGACCCAGTGTGGCCGGTATGAAAACAAGCCAAAACTTCTCATTCGTCGGTAAACACTTCGTATGCCAATAGGTCTTCCGTGTTCTGCAAACCATTCATTTGCAATGGACCTGGTAGTGGAGAAACGGTCCCTTAAGGCCAATAATCTTAGGCGGCGAACTTCACGGTCTGTTGTTCTACGGCGGCGTCCAGTGCCCCTTGCTCTTTGCGTACGGCCTTCTCGAAGCCATGCCTGACAACACCTAACCACAGTGTCTACACTTCTTTGCACTCTAACTGCAATTGCCCGAAAAGAAAGTCCAGCTTCCCGAAGTCCCACTATACGGCCCCTATCAAACTCACTAAGTTGACGAAATCGTACAGGTCTCCGTACTCTAGGCATCGTAACCGATCGTAAAGGATGTCAAGAACCAAAATCCGCCAACGTTGATTCTTTACTGCGGCTGAAATATTCATTTTTAGAGCGTTAGTGAATTAAAAAAAAGCAGTATAAAAACCGGAATGTCGAACTGATAAGGCTGAAAATTTGTTCACTTGTTATTTACAGTTCGGATTTATATGTCACTTAGTATACAATTGGTTTAAGGACTCATTTGACAACGCTGCGATTCATTTAACTTCTTCCTTGCCCTTACTGAAAGCATCTACCATCTGATAATGTTAGTCGTGCTATGCTCTATGCTGGTCAGCACAAAACGTATACACTGGAGAAGGAAAAGTCCTGTGCTATGCATAGGGCAACACGGATGACTTATGTCAGTGAAAAGTCGGCATTCCTTTTGATGCGATGTGGTTGCCAGATTGTGCATGAAGCCCTACTCAACGCTGACAGTTTTTCGCATATATCTGAGACTGTTGCTACTTTATAGTGCGATTTATACTGGTGTGTAGTAGATTTTACAATGCCGCGTGTTATCGGCACGTCTTGCTGTTTCTGATAAATAAGTAGATACTACACTATTCTGTTGATACATCAGCGTCAATAACAAAAAGATTCTTCCATATCACCCGCAGTCATTTGAAGTTTTGGGAACGGTAAAAAAAGTACCTACATTTGTTAATATATTCATCTAACTTTATTAATATGGTAGAATAAATCAATAATGCTTGTGATCCGTGTATTTTCATTCCTGATGGCTGTCTTCTGTAGCACTCGCATAGAAAAGTTGTAAAAACCAGTAATGAAGACAAATTCACTTAAAAAAAGTCAATATAAGATAAAGAATGCACACGTCGTATGGTAAAAAAATAACAGACTTTATTGCAGGAACGAAGAGTGGTTACAAGTATTGAGCAATATCTGTCTGTGCCTCGATATAATTCTAGTATTTATAGGAAAAATAACAGAGCTGTATCGAAAAAAAACAAGTAAAAAGCAAATATTTCTTAATGGGCTTGCTTGCCATACAATTCAATTTGTTGGAATAATGGGCTTGTACCACATAGTTATGTTACCAACAGGATTCCATAACTTATATTGAGGAGTGCCACATTGCTGGAATTCCAGATTCTATTCTACGTAACAATTATAATATATAATATTTAGTCACATTTCCATAATATCCACAATAATGTGCAATTTCTACGCAAAACTCGATAATAAGTAATTTCGGTACATTTTTACAGATTCACGAATGTATTATAATATGTAATAATAATAAATAAATAAATAAAAACGCCTTTATTTTAAACTCGGCGAAGGCCAGCTGTGCTGTTAACTTAACCGAGCATGTAAAAAGTAACAACAAGCCAAAAAGAAAAGTAATATGACAAGAAACAAGTTTTACATTACATTAATTTTAGAATATTACATAACAACAATGAACAATAATAACAACAGATGTACGTATACAAAGAAAATAAGCAATAATAAACAACTTATACTTTACAGAAGCAGCTGTTTCAGTTTTCGTTTGAACATATTAGGAGACATATCTTCAAATTGACCTATATTGTATTGGTTTAGAAGTTTGACTGATGTATAGGAAAATGAGCTTTGAGTCATGGTTTTAGTTATTTTAGGTATTTCATAAAGTACATTAAAGCGTGTTGCACGAGAGTGAATCAGATTTCTACGAGTTAATTTTTCAAACAGATATGGAGGGCTTTTAGTTTTAATCAATTTATGAAGAAAGCAAGCAAAATGCAGCTTTTCTCGATTGGAAACATTCAACCATTTAAGTTCGTATGTAGAGTAAGATTTCTTACAACTTTTGGTATGTTGACTACAAATTATCGGAATATCAGATTTCCAATTCATTCTTATTAGCTCTTTTGGAAAATGTGAATATTTGAAAATGTAATCCCTTCTGATGACGTACATATTTAAGCTTAAAAAATACAAAGTGTCTCATTAGTCATGGTCCTGAATTACCAATTTGTACAGATGTATTCCCTAAAGAGAATTATAGCAGCCGGTGATTTCTATTCTCCCTATCTCTGAGCACCAGAAGTTAGGGGACGTTCAAATATTACGTGAGCACTATGGGAGGTCTTTGCTTTGCTTATTTTGGATGACATAGGGGGTAGGGGAGTCTAGATGATGATTACGTCATCGGTAGTTATTTACTTTTTTACACGAATGCCAACCCTCACATTGTCTTTGCTTGAAAACGAAACGCATTTTCGGGGATTCCCGCAAATAATGCATACGTTCAGTGAACAGCGCGCGGCAATTCCCTTACTCGCTTTAGAACCGAGTAGGGGAATTACCGCGCGGTGTTCACTTCTCTAAATTTCCTCTATCAATGTATTGTTTCGCTTGGATACTATAGCGAGTAGACGTATTGTAAGCATAGTAATACAAGCTAACATTTGTGTTACCATTGATTCCATTAGCCAAAGTTTAATATTTAAATAAGACGTCGTTTCACATAGACAAATCCAAGTTATACCAAAAATTGTTTGAATGTTTTAAAAAATCTCATACAAGTACGAAAGTTCAAAATGTACAAAAGTTAGTTAACGAAGTGTGGCGAAATTACAAATTACAAGCAAAATCCGACAAGGAACTAGATATTATTGTATCTAAGAGAATCGAAGAAGAATTGCAAGCGGCGACTAAGAATATATCCAATCTACTAAACTTTTTTTCTAAGGTGAGTTACCAAATCATTTTAGGTACCTATGAGTACTAGAAGTATTAGAAATCGCCAAAAAATTTCTCTTTACTGATTAGAAAATATTATGGCCTATCTCAAAGCATAGAGGTAATATTCATTATATTATAGATTTATTTCTTATGATTGATTCCGTCAATTGGTCACAAAGTACAGGATGTTAGTTTTATACATATATACAGAAAACTAACACCCTGTATTTTGTGACCGGAACGAATAGCTCGTTTAAACATATTAGTTTTAAAGCCTATGCATATTTACCATATATATTGCCATACTTTGTATTCATTTAGCTTAATAAGAGAATCTTTAGCAGAAGCCATAGAAAGTTTTTATTTTTAGGCAACCTGTAAACCTGCAGAAAAAACACAAATTATACGGTCAGCTTCAAATATTAAAAAAGAGGAAGAAGATAAAATAAAGTCCGGTAATGAATCACAACTGCAATGCGAAATTAATGAAAATACAGATAAACAGAGAGCAAAACTTTCTCAGGAAGCTATGAAAGATAAGATTGCTCTACTCGAAAAAAATCTGAATGCTTTGTATTCTGCCAGAGATACTATGCCAAGCCGTGCTGAAGATGATAAACAGATCATTAAGTTGCGCGATAAAAACAGCAAAGCAGTCTTTAAACAGGGAGGTTCAAAACGCAGTTGCCCAGAGGAAACACAGGGATGATATGAAAAGAATGTTAGAAGATATTTGACATGAAAATCCAGAAATAAAAAAAGACTATCTCTGAGGGATTCAGTGGGACGTCCTAATCTTGAAAGCAATCAACATTCGCTATTGAAAACAATCGCGGATATAGCTTTATTTGGAAGGGTAGCAGATGATAGAAGACGAACCGAATCAATTCGCAGCGTAAAAACTCTTGATGAACTCACGCAAGAATTACGTAAAGTAGGATTTGACATTAGTCGCAGTGGGACATATCTTCATATACATATCTAATTCTGCAGAGGGACGAAGACATGTATCGACAGTCCCTGTTAAGCTCATTCGGGCTCAAACTGATCACCACAAGAGCCACTTAGATAGCAAGTTCGCTGAAACACCAACCCATTATTTAGAGAACATAGCATCCATACTTGGACCAGATCAAGTATTTTTCATATCTCAAGATGATAAAGCTCGAGTCCCTATTGCCCTAACTGCGGCAAATAAGCAAGCACCTCTTCTAATGCACATGGAATATAGAATCAAATTGCCTGATCACGATTGGGTAATCGCTGAGCGTCATAAATTAATACCATCTCTTTATGCTGCTTTCAAAATTACTTCCAATATGCTAGGACAACCGCAAACCGTTGGATATTCTGGACCAACATACATCGCTATTCGAAGTGGAAAGCATAGTTCATCTTACCGCTAATACTCATGTTCAGGATTTCGAGACGCTTTTCGAACTTGAAGTGTTTCGACCATTAGCTAAAACTGACCATGGACTAGTAAAACCAGTGGTAATCATGACGGTTGATGGAGGACCAGATGAAAATCCACGTTATAAAAAAGCCATAGGGTTTGCTATACAACACTTAAAGCGACATGATCTCGATGCATTGTTTTTAGCTACCAATGCTCCTGGAAGAAGTACATATAACAAAGTAGAGCGCAGAATGGGTCCTCTTAGTCGGGAGCTGGCTGGTTTAATATTGCCTCATGACCATTTTGGCTCTCATTTGGATGAACGTGGCGTTACAATTGATGAACATTTAGAAAGATCTAATTTCGAATTTGCAGGAAATGTATTAGCTGAAGTATGGAGTTCAATCGAAATTGATGGCTATAATGTTAATGCAAAATATGTTGGGGCAGGTGAACAAGATCTTCTTGATTTTCCAGACATTAAATGGTATTCAGAACATGTGCGTGAGAGCCACTACTCGCTTCAAATTGTAAAATGTAGAAATACAGTATGCTGTCGTCGAAGAAGTGGCCTATTTAGATTACTAGACAACGAGTTTCTTCCACCACCTGTAAAAGTAAAACAAGCAGTTGATGACTTGGTTTTGGATGGAGGAGGGCATTTCTTAATCTTAATCTTCCGGTCAATTTAGCTCTACGCTTAAGTGCTTCACTCAAAGATTTCCTGCAAATGCCCTACGATTATTTTTTTCCGACGGTTGAGGCTATCAAGTCGAACATACAAAACGTGTGGTCGTTGTCATGCTTCCGTCAAGTCACTAAATCGTCACATCGAAAATATCCATAATAAAGTAAACACGCACACTGATAGGAAAGTTAGACCTGTAAGAGTCGCTGCTCGTCGTGCTAATGAACTGATGTGCATTATTCAAAATTTATAGGACCGTGATGTTGAATGGCTCGATGAGACCGACGTAGACATTCCAAAATCTGATGAAAGCGAGCCAGCTCACAACACTGAGCAGCAATCGAAGCAATCCAATGTTATCGAAAATTTAGATGCATGGATTCGGGTTTCATGGACTGAAGACTGTTGATTTGAATTTAATATATGTACCAAAAATTTAAAATAAGTTGGTTGTGTTAGTAAGATATAATATTTTTGTCCTTTACTCTATGTTGAATACCGTATCAGTAAAATATAATCTCTATCCTAAATCTATTTTCTTATTTTTCAAATTATAATTATAGCGTTATAATTATAATATTAAAAAAACAATACATTAATTGACTAATGTTTACGTAAGCATAGGGGCAGGGTGTAAGAGCTTTGCTTACTTTTGCTGACAAGGGTGATGGGGGGGTAAATAATTGTAATAAATCTGCTTACGTAATACTTAAACGGCCCCTTAGCAGTTAAACCGAGTTTCTTTCCTCTGGTTTTTCATAGTGCTCGACATATGTGACTGTGGAATCTTGCTTGAATCCACGATATTTAACTTCGAAAATTTCTAAGCCATTTCTCAGGAGATAAACGGGAAACCGAGGTTGATAAAATCATTTCGGTTCGCCTGAAAAAATAGCATTGGTATACTATACATAGATATTATAAAGACGAAATTCAATATAAAATAGACCAACACGAAATATTGAATATTTTCATACCTACCTTTGTCACTATGTACAGAAAAAAGAGGTTAGGTGGTATAACACCAAAAAAACATAATTCATTGAAATTACTTCCTCTTAGAGGCACAGGAAGTAAAAATGTTCGATATGAATGTCTCTTGCGGCATGCATAGAGGTTCCTTTGTTTAAATTTCACTTCGCTTGGCACAATAGCATGCATTGACAATGAAATTGATATATAAATCAACTGCTGCTGCATCTGGCTTTTCGACGAGTCGTATCAGTCATCTGCAAATTAACCATCATTCATCGGCTTCCGCTTTTGATAGGTCCACAATTAATTGAAATTAAATTCGTTGTAGCAGTGTCTGTTTCAGAAGATGCTTGTTTCAAAAGATTCCAAGATAAATTGTAATTCAGTTTACTTGGCATTACCGCAGGCGGGGCAATTTAAATTAAAACTGACCTAGAAGCGGATCTGGTTACAGCGAAAAACTCGTCAAAAAAAAAGATTTGCTTTTCGGTGGTTTGTCCAACAGAATGAACACTTCATGCATCACAGTTTTTTTATTTTTAACTTCTGACCAAAAAGGGGCGTTATACTGAGTGTTCTTAAAGTTGAGACAACAAGATTCATATCATTGAGATTCCGGAAATGTCACGAGGCCGGTTAAATGGAGACAGAGTTGCAGATTTGAATAAGGACAAATATGGCACTTAGAAAGTTTCAAGGCACCACTATTTCCGCAGGTATACGAAAAGAGCCGGATCTTTCCATAAACTTTCTATTACTTCCTGATCTCATTTGAGATGGGATATCTTTTTCACGTCTCCAAGGTGGTATAATCATAATCTCAGAAAGCCTTTTTTCGTTGCCCTCAATCATCAAATTTATTTTTTGTTAATGCGGGCAATATCGGATGTAAAAAACTAGAATTCAAAACTATCAGGTACCCATTTATTCAATCATCATTAGCTAGGCATTCCTTCAGCTGCTATGGACTGGGCATAAGTAAACGGTCCCCCTATTTCCGATTCTAGTGCTATGATGTCTTCTTTGTTAATTGATCATCTTCTTAACATTTTTGGTTACCTTCTTGAACAGGCAGTACTGTTAAAGTAGCAGGGTACAACATAAAGTTTTTTAGGTGATATCTGTCTGTATTGTTTCAGAAAACTGCTACCAAATGAGGTCGTTTTTTTAATGTAATGCCTTTTATACTGTTAGTGATTGTAAGTATGTATGGATTATTATGCTTTTTCTCATTACTTGAGTCATAAAATTTTATGTGTCGTTAGATTATCGTGAATCCGGCACTAAGCCAGATTACCAAGCAACTGGGTATAAACTGGTTTGATCAGTGTATTCCTTATGGAAAAAACAGCTTTATTCAATAGAACGTTTATGAGATAATTTGTATATAGGAGAGATATTGCACGTGAAAGTTTATATCGAACCATAAATTGTTGCGTGATATTCATACAAAAAAGTTATGTCAGTTTACAGCTGGATACATAATGGCATGAATTTGTATTAAGGAACCTTAGTGTCTGAAGATATAATCTTTCTATATAATAATATCGATCCTTCATTAAAAAAAATATAATTATATCTTTTGATTTAACCCTTAACCGGAAAGGTGCCGTCTGTGAGACTGCGGCGTTTCTATACCTGAGCGTATCTTTTTTTATTGCACCTCTAACAGACGTAAAAACCCATCTAATCCATAAGCTATTAGTGACCATCGCCCACCCCCATTCACATTGCTATTTGTGTTGCATAGGTGCGTTTGCGAGTATGGCGGGACCTTCTAAACGTGTACGATACGATGATCCGGAGTTCAAGAAACCGTTCTAAAATGGTTTGAGGATGAAGGAAGTGACTTTAGTGATATAGACAGTGCCTCAGAAGACGAATACATGGAATCAGATCATACAAGTGATAGTGAGTTATCAGAAGACGGAGCCGAAGGAAATGAAGAGGATTTACCAGCTCAGAATTATTTCTATGGAAAAAATCGTCATAGGTGGAATATTTCGGAAGTTGTACCATCATCACGTACAAGGAAGCACAATATAGTCATTAAAGTACCAACTCTAAGAGGAAAAGCTCATGAATATGGAGAAGAAGCAGCTCCGTTGACGGTTTGGCAGCTTTTGTTCACTGACGACATGTTGGTACATATCGTTAAGTGGACCAATCACAAGCTCAAAGAAATGCGAAAGAGATACAAAAATCAAACCAGCAACCTAAACGACACTGATTTAGTCGAAATAAAGGCACTATTGGGTCTCTTAGTATATACATCGGTGTTCAACAGCAACCACGAGAACATTGAAACACTTTTTGCCACCGATGGCTCTGGAAGAGATATATTCAGAGCTGTCATGAACATAAAACGATTTGGTATTCTCCTGTCAGCCTTAAGGTTCGATAACCCAGATGACAGGAATGAAAGAAAGAAGCTAGATCCAGTAGCACCAATATCTTTCATTTTTAATAGTTTTATAAAGAACTGTCAAGATGTGTACGGAGTTGGCCAGTCTGTCACTGTCGATGAAATGCTCGTGAGTTTCAGAGGAAGATGTCGATTTAAAATGTATATGCCTGCGAAACCTTGCAAATATGGCATAAAAATTATGGCATTGACGGATGCAAGGAATAGCTACCTCTATAACGCATATATATACTGCGGTAAAGATTCCGATAGTTTCGAACTTCCTGAGGAACACAAGCGGTATTCCAAACCCACACAATCAGTTCTACGTCTCGCGAAGCCTCTGTTTGGAACTAATCGCAACATTACAGCGGACAACTGGTTTACGTCAATAGAATTAATGGATGTCCTATTGAAGAACAAACTGACCTATGTGGGTACAATGAAGAAAAATAAAAGAGAAATTCCTCCGGCATTTTTACCCAACAAATCAAGAGAAGTCGGATCAACAATGTACGGATTTCGAGAAGATTCCACTATTGTGTCTCATGTAAGCAAAAAAAATAAAGCCACAATACTCATATCTTCTATGCACCACAGAAAATATTGTGATCCGGAAACACAGAAACCGGAAATAATAGCCTATTACAATGCTAATAAAGGTGGAGTTGATTCTCTTGATGAAAAATGTTCGAAGAGTACCTCAAGTCGCCGTTCGCGTAGGTGGCCACTGGTTATTTTCTACCGACTATTGGATATATCGGTAGTGAACTCGTATATTTTACACCAGTGCTATAAGAAAAATGAATTGCAGAATGAAAAATCGGTATTTGCTAAGATGTTGGCCGCTAACCTGGTCCGTGATCATATGGAAAAGCGACTAGAGAGTCCCCCCGTTTACCTCGGGATTTGCGACTTACGATAAATCGCATCCTTGGCAAATGCGAACATCCAGCAACAGAAGCTGAAAATTTGGTTTTGGAAAAAAGGAAAGCCTGCTTTTTATGTCACCGAACGACCCATCGGATGATCAAATTTTTGTGTGTACAATGTAGGAAGCCTGTATGTCTTCAATGCTCCAAACCCAAATGTATTAGCTGCATAAATATAGGCAATGTTTGAGACTTGCAGTGAATTTTGATTGTGTTCTTTTTGTATTTATTGACTATAATATACTTTCCTTGTTCATTACTTAACTAGAAAATAGAAAAATATTGAGACTTTTCCATAGTTTTAATTTAGTTTCTGAATGTTGCAACAACAGCGTTATTTTTGTATGGTTTTAGCATAGTTAATAAAAATGTTTCTTTTATGTTCTTGTATCATTTTGAAATGAGCATTTTACGTATTAAACACATAAAATAAACATCCAGTATCAGTTTCAGCGAAGTTATTGCTTGCTTTTCGCCTTACTCTAATTTTTTGAACATCTTGAAGTTCGCAGTCTGAGAGACGGCATGTTTCCTTTTGTGTTCAAAAAATTCACGTTTCCTGTTAAGGGTTAAGAAACTGAGTATAAACATCTTAATTCTTGTAGAATAT